ATACAGCTGCAGAGAGAGTTCTCACCTCGATGTTGGACTGTGTCATACAGCTGCACAGGGAGTTCTCACCTCCAAGTTGTACTGTGACATACAGCTGCAGAGAGATTTCTCGCATCAAAGGTGTACTGTGACACAGCTGTAGAGAGGGTTCTTACCTCCATGTTGTATTGACATACAGCTGCAGAAAGAGTTCTCACCTTGATGATGTACTGTGACATACAGCTGCAGAGAGAGTTCACAGTTCACACAGCTGCAACACTGTTATCACATCGCAGTGTGCCATACATTGACGTTGAAGAAACCCTACATTAAATGGCATACCAAAAACGCAGGATACACAGGATGTCTGTTACATGGTGTCTAAATAGTGCCTACACACTGTCACATGGAGTCTACATTCTGTGTCACATGGAGCCTACACACTGTGTCACATGGAGCCTAAATTCTGTGTCACATGCAGTCTACATACTGTGTCACATGCAGCCTACATGCTGTGTCACATGGAGCCTGCATTCTGCGTCACATGCAGCCTACATACTGTGTCAAATGGAGCCTACACACTGTGTCAAATGGAGCCTACACACTGTCACATGGAGCCTACACAGTGTCATATGGAGCCTACATTCTGTCACATGGAGCCTACATACTGTGTCAAATGGAGCCTACATACTGTGTCAAATGGAGACTACATACTGTGTCAAATGGAGCCTACATACTGTGTCAAATGGAGCCTACATTCTGAGTCACATGCAGCCTACATGCTGTGTCACATGTAGCCTACATACTGTCACATGGAGCCTACATTCTGTGTCACATGGAGCCTACATACTGTGTCACATGCAGCCTACATACTGTGTCACATGGAGCCTACATACTGTGTCAAATGGAGCCTACATTCTGAGTCACATGGAGCCTACATGCTGTGTCACATGGAGCCTACCTGCTGTCACATGGAGCCTACATTCTGTGTCACATGCAGCCTACACACTGTGTCACATGGAGCCTACACATTGTGTCACATGGAGCCTACATAATGTGTCAGATGCAGCCTACACACTGTGTCACATGAAGCCTACATACTGTGTCACATGGAGCCTACATTCTGTGTAACATGGAGCCTACATACTGTGTCAGATGGAGCTTACATTCTGTGTCACATGCAGTCTACACACTGTGTCACATGGAGCCTACATTCTGTGTCACATGGAGCCTACACACTATGTCACATGGAGCCTACACACTGTGTCACATAGAGATTACATTCTGTGCCACATGCAGCCTACAAACTGTGTCACATGGAGCCTACGTTCTGTGTCACATGGAGCCTACATTCTGTGTCATATGGAGCCTACATGATGTGTCACATGGAGCCTACATTCTCTGTTACATGCAGCCTACATTGTGTCAGATGGAGCCTACATACTGTGTCACATGCAGCCTACATTCTGTGTCACATGCAGCCTACACACTGTGTCACATGGAGCCTACACACTGTGTCACATGGAGCCTACTAACTGTGTCACAAGGAGCTCACATACTGTGTTACATGGAGCCTATACACTGTGTCACATGGAGCCTATACACTGTGTCAGATGCAGCCTACACACTGTGTCACATGGAGCCTACGTTCTGTGTCACATGGAGCCTACATTCTGTGTCATATAGAGCCTACATAATGTGTCACATCGAGCCTACATTCTGTGTCACATGCAGCCTACACACTGTGTCACATGGAGCTCACAAACTGTGTCACATGGAGCCTACATACTGTGTCACATGCAGCCTACATACTGTGTCACATGCAGCCTACATACTGTGTCACATGCAGCCTACATACTGTGTCACATGCAGCCTACACACTGTATCATATGAAGCCTACATACTGTGTCACATGGAGCCTACATTCTGTGTAACATGGAGCCTACATACTGTGTCACATGGAGCCTACGTTCTGTGTCACATGGAGCCTACATTCTGTGTCATATGGAGCCTACATAATGTGTCACATGGAGCCTACATTCTCTGTTACATGCAGCCTACATTGTGTCAGATGGAGCCTACATACTGTGTCACATGGAGCCTACATTCTGTGTCACATGCAGCCTACACAGTGTCACATGGAGCCTACACACTGTGTCACATGGAGCCTACTAACTGTGTCACAAGGAGCTCACATACTGTGTTACATGGAGCCTATACACTGTGTCACATGGAGCCTACGTTCTGTGTCACATGGAGCCTACGTTCTGTCACATGGAGCCTACGTTCTGTGTCACATGGAGCCTACATACTGTGTCACATGCAGTCTACATACTGTGTCACATGCAGCCTACATACTGTGTCACATGCAGCCTACATACTGTGTCACATGGAGCCTACATAGTGTGTCACATGGAGCCTACATAGTGTGTCACATGGAGCCTACACACTTTGTCACATGCAGCCTACATACTGATATGTGGAGCCTACATACTGATATGTGGAGCCTACATATGATGTCACATCAGCCTATACTGTCACATGGAGCCCATATACTGTGTCACATGGAGCCTACAAACTGTCACATGCAGCCTACATACTGTCACATGGAGCCTACAAACTGTGTCACATGCATCCAACATACTGTCACATGCAGCCTACACACTGTGGCACATGGAGCCTACATACTGTAGTATACAGGCACAATTCCCATGCAATATAGACTCCATGCAACACTCAACATACTAAACCTTCCTACTTGTTCATATGCTGCCTACATGCTTTCACATGGACTTTGCATACATATTCATGTTTAGCTTCTATTGAGTGTCATATGGAGTATATCTTGCATTATTCTAAATTGAAACAGGGTCCAACATCAGGTTCAAGACTATCAAACTTCCATAGTGACATGCATACTTGTGTGTGTACGTACATAGGTGTGTGAGTGTGTGTGTACGTACGTAGGTGTGTGAGTGTGTGCATGCATACTTGTGTGTGTATGTACGTAGGTGCATGAGTGTGTGCATGCATGCTTGTGTGTGTACGTACGTAGGTGCGTGAGTGTGCATGCATGCTTGTGTGTACATACGTAGGTGCGTGAGTGTGTGTGTACGTACGTAGGTGCATGAGTGTGTGCATGCATGCTTGTGTGTGTACGTACGTAGGTGCGTGAGTGTGCATGCATGCTTGTGTGTACATACGTAGGTGCGTGAGTGTGTGTGTACGTACGTAGGTGCGTGAGTGTGTGCATGCATACTTGTGTGTACGTACGTAGATGCGTGAGTGTGTGCATGCATGCTTGTGTGTGTACGTACGTAGGTGCTTGAGTGTGTGTGCATGCATACACATGTGTGTGTACGTACATACGTGAGTGAGTGTGTGTGCATGCATGCTTGTGTGTGTACGTATGTACATACGTGAGTGAGTGTGTGTGCATGCATGCTTGTGTGTGTGTACGTACATACGTGAGTAAGTGTGTGTGCATGCATGCTTGTGTGTGTACGTACATACCTGAGTGAGTGAGTGTGCATGCATGCTTGTGTGTGTACGTAAGTACATACATGAGTGAGTGTGTGTGCATGCATACCCGTGTGTGTACGTACATAGGTGCGTGAGTGTGTGTGCATGCATACACATGTGTGTGTACGTACATAGGTGCGTGAGTGTGTGTGCATGCATGCTTGTGTGTGTGTACGTACATAGGTGCGTGAGTGTGTGTGCATGCATGCTTGTGTGTGTGTACGTACATACGTGAGTGAGTGAGTGTGCATGCATGCTTGTGTGTGTACGTACATACCTGAGTAAGTGTGTGTGCATGCATGCTTATGTGTGTACGTACATACGTGAGTGAGTGAGTGTGCATGCATGCTTGTGTGTGTATGTACGTACATACGTGAGTGAGTGTGTGTGCATGCATGCTTGTGTGTGTATGTATGTACATACGTGAGTGAGTGTGCATGCATGCTTGTCTGTACGTAAGTACATACGTGAGTGAGTGTGTGTGCATGCATACCCGTGTGTGTACGTACGTAGGTGCGTGAGTGTGTGTGCATGCATACTCACGTGTGTGTGTGTACGTAGGTGCGTGAGTGTGTGTGCATGCATGCTTGTATGTGTACATGTGCTTGACTGTTAGTACTTGTCCGGACTAATGTTGGTTTGATAGTGCTATCCCACTGAGATATCAGAAAAAGTATACTGACTGAGCAGACCAATCCTTGTTTTATCCCCTTATTCGAATCCCTGTTAGCCCTGATGAGCATTATAGCTTTGTCAGCACCATACCTGTGCTCAAGGGTATTACCAAAGGGGAAAACTTCTAAGACCCACATCACTTCAGGCTTTCCTCTAAGCTGAAAGCTGTGATATAAATGAAACACTATTTCAAGCAGCATTAAACAAAACTCACTCCCACACTCAATATAGCTTGATGTGGAGCCTCTATACTGGGTCACATGGAGCCTCTGTACTGGGTCACATAGAGCCTCTATACTTGGTCAAATGGAGCCTCAATACTGGGTCACATGGAGCCTCTATACTGGGTCACATGGAGCCTCTATACTGGGTCACATGGAGCCTCTGTACTGGGTCACATGGAGCCTCTATACTGGGTCACATAGAGCCTCTATACTGGGTCACATGGAGCCTCTATACTGGGTCACATGGAGCCTCTGTACTGGGTCACATGGAGCCTCTACACTGGGTCACATGGAGCCTTTACACTGGGTACATGGAGCCTCTATACTGGGTCACATGGAGCCTCTATACTGGGTCACATGGAGCCTCTACACTTGGTCACATGGAACCTCTATACTGGGTCACATGGAGCCTCTATACTGGGTCACATGGAGCCTCTGTATTCTGATAGAGGGTAGAGGTGTTACTTTGATTCCATTCCTTTCATTAGGCTGTGGTCCCTGGTCATCAATATTACTTCATGTGCATCCAGTCCTCAAAGTTTCAACTTATCACCATGGCAGTCTATGTTAGAATTACAAATAAATGAAATGAGGCAGGTGTATCACAAGACAGCATGGTTATTTATTCCCTCTAGCCAGTAAATGATGTTAGCAATACAGTTTGATGAGCTCGTCACTGACAGCCGATGGCGTGAGGACCCCTAGGTCTGTGAAAAGGAGGGTGATGTAAGCTGGAGGTGTGTAGTCCACCAGAGGGTGCTCCTTGCTCAGGTCGCGGCCAGACTTCAGAGTAGATGACTGGTACTGGGGAAAGAGAAATAATTCATCAAAAGAATAACAGATGAACAATTGCTTAAGGAGAAGAAAACAGAAAAAGACAACATTTATACTAAAAAGAAATAATCATCCTGCACACGAGTTCTCACTCACTGGAAGACCAGAAAAATCAGTGACTGAAAGGATGAGCATCAATCTGACATCCAGGTAACATGGCAACCGTGTTAGTCACCACAGGCTCCCATGTACATCAGTTCTTGTGACCATGACAACCAGCAGTGTCATGTATGTAGGCCCTAATGACCAGGGTGCCATTGTACAAAGCGATCTTAGCGCTAAGGTGATCGTAACTCCCATACATCACAGGATGCTAGATCTACAAAAATGCTGTAGAAGAATACTCACTTTAAACTGGTTAGGCATGTCTTGTTGGTTGAGAGGGTAGAGCCTTACAAACTTGAAGCTTTCTGCCACCACATATACCGGCTTGTTCATCGCCTGGGCCGAGATAGCCATTGTGTAAGTCCCGATCTGAAATAGTTTCCATTATTTGTAGGATTTGTCTCACTGGGAGAGAGGAGGAAATAAGACATGGTTTACAGGAGAATGAGGCATAATTCCTACCGACAGTCAAGCCTTGAGCTGGTCACATAGGTAGCCACTCCAGCCACAGACAATATCCTCTGCAGAAGATGCTGACGCAGGGGCTATTCATAATTATTCACAGCTAATTGTAAATCAGAAAGACATTCAAAATATACTTGAAAATCCTGATCTTGTATTTTGTGTCCGATGGACTGCACATAGCTGTAAACTGTAATCAGTGTGCACCATGTAGAACCCTGTCTACAACAACATGTCTACCACACCTGAAACCCTCCCGCCCACCCCCCACAGCTCTGGTGTTACCTTGTTGATTATCCCGCCACTCTCCACCACCCCCTCAGCTCCGATGAGAACCAGGTCCACCTTCTCCATTACATATCTACAACACAACAAGCATCTCCAGTTTTAGCAACACGTTGTACTTCAAATGGCAAGACATGAATCTTGTTCTGAACATACTTTGTTTGTTATATAACTCTGCAATATTCCAAGACTATGATAGCAACCTGTAAATACACGAGTCTGGATCAGATACCTGTGACTGATATTATGAGCAACAAACCATGCTGTTGTGTACGATGACACTCAATCAACCAAGTCAACGAGTCTGACCACCTTATCCATTAAGTTGCCTCTTACGAGCAGCATCGGTTACTCGCAACCTATTCTTACTGTGAATCCTTGCTGGGATGTTGAACATACTGATAGAAGTATCTTTTTAAGACGTTAAAACAAGACACAAAACTGTGATTACCCCACTGCAGCATCCAGAACTACTGTGGTTGGTATGCCAAGGGCAGACAACTCCTCACAGGTCTCAAAACTGAAAAGAAGAATATGTATTCAAGTAAAAAATGCAAATCATTCATGTTCAGTAAGTGACAGAATAAGCCCTATAAACAGTTTACAATTTCTAGAAGTATAAGGACACTGGACACACTGGTGCACATACCCGGACTTGTCAGGGAGAGATTCTGTTACATACACCTTGAAGCGGCGGCGTGCAGCGGCAGCATCCCGCAACACCTGCAGCACCACCCGTGACCGTGAGTGTGTCAAGATGGTCTGTGCACAGACAACCATGGCATCAGGTACTGCTGACAGTGAGCAAGTATCAGGTAAAGTCAGTTTTCAGATACAACAGTATGTAGAAAGTAGGTCATGTATGTCAGATGATGCAACATTATGTAGAAAGTAGGTCACGTATGTCAGATGACCCAACAGTATGTAGAAAGTAGGTCATGTATGTCAGATGATGCAACATTATGTAGAAAGTAGGTCACGTATGTCAGATGACCCAACAGTATGTAGAAAGTAGGTCATGTAGATCAGATGATACAACAGTATGTAGAAAGTAGGTCACGTAGATCAGATGAAGCAACAGTTTGTGGAAGGTAGGTCATGTATGTCAGCTGATACAACAGTATGTAGAAAGAAGGTCATGTACATCAGATGATACAACAGTTTGTGGAAGGTAGGTCATGTATATCGGATGATTCAAGAGTATGTAGAAAGTAGGTCATGTATGTCAGATGATGCAACAGTATGTAAAGTAGGTCATGTATATTGGATGATTCAAGAGTATGTAGAAAGTAGGTTTTGCATATCGGATGATACAACAGTATGTAGAAAGTAGGTCACGTAAATCAGATGAAGCAACAGTTTGTGGAAGGTAGGTCACGTATATTGGATGATACAACAGTATGTAGAAAGTAGGTCTTGTAGATCAGATGATACAACAGTATGTAGAAAGTAGGTCATGTATATCTGATGATACAACAGTATGTAGAAAGTAGGTCATGTATATCTGATGATACAACAGTATGTAGAAAGTAGGTCATGTATATAAGATGATACAACAGTATGTAGAAAGTAGGTCATGTATATCGGATGATACAACAGTATGTAGAAAGTAGGTCATCTATATCGGATGATTCAACAGTATGTAGAAAGTAGGTCATGTATATCAATTGATACAACAGTATGTAGAAAGTAGGTCATGTATATCGCATGATACAACAGTATGTAGAAAGTAGGTCATGTATATTAGATGATACAACAGTATGTAGAAAGTAGATAATTTATATTAGATGATACAACAGTATGTAGAAAGTTGGTAATGTATATCGGATGATACAACAGTATGTAGAAAGTAGGTCATGTATGTCAGATGATTCAACAGTATGTAGAAAGTAGGTCATGTAAATCAGATGAAGCAACAGTTTAAGGTAGGTCATGTATATTGGATGATACAACAATATGTAAAGTAGATCATGTAGATCAGATGATACAACAGTATGTAGAAAGTAGGTCATGTAGATCAGATGATACAACAGTATGTAGAAAGTAGGTCATGTAGATCAGATGATACAACAGTATGTAGAAAGTAGGTCATGTATATCAGATGATACAACAGTATGTAGAAAGTAGATAATTTATATTAAATGATACAACAGTATGTAGAAAGTTGGTAATGTATATCGGATGATACAACAGTATGTAGAAAGTAGGTCATGTATGTCAGATGATTCAACAGTATGTAGAAAGTAGGTCATGTAAATCAGATGAAGCAACAGTTTAAGGTAGGTCATGTATATTGGATGATACAACAGTATGTAAAGTAGATCATGTAGATCAGATGATACAACAGTATGTAGAAAGTAGGTCATGTAGATCAGATGATACAACAGTATGTAGAAAGTAGGTCATGTATATCAGATGATACAACAGTATGTAGAAAGTAGGTCATGTAAATCAGATGATACAACAGTATGCAGAAAGTAGGTCACATAAATCAGATGAAGCAACAGTTTAAGGTAGGTCATGTATATTGGATGATACAACAGTATGTAAAGTAGATCATGTAGATCAGATGATACAACAGTATGTAGAAAGTAGGTCATGTAGATCAGATGATACAACAGTATGTAGAAAGTAGGTCATGTATATCAGATGATACAACAGTATGTAGAAAGTAGGTCATGTAGATCAGATGATACAACAGTATGTAGAAAGCAGGTCATGTAAATCAGATGATACAACAGTATGTAGAAAGTAGGTCATGTAAATCAGATGATACAACAGTATGTAGAAAGTAGGTCATGTAAATCAGATGATACAACAGTATGCAGAAAGTAGGTCACGTAAATCAGATGAAGCAACAGTTTGTGGAAGGTAGGTCATGTATATTGGATGATACAACAGTATGTAAAGTAGATCATGTAGATCAGATGATACAACAGTATGTAGAAAGTAGGTGATGTAGATCAGATGATACAACAGTATGTAGAAAGTAGGTCACGTAGATCAGATGATACAACAGTATGTGGAAGGTAGGTCATGTAGATCAGATGATAACAGACAACACAGAAAACCCAACATTGAAAACTCACCATTCTACCACGACACAGTGACAAAACAACACTTTGGTTATAACGGAAATGATTAGTAGGTTGAAAGGGAAATTTTAGGGATCAGTGAAGGTCGATTTCAATATGCATACTGTAAATCATGAAATTACTGTGTCACCAAGGTAATGCAAGTGTCGACCCATGACCTAAAATGCGTCACCAAATGAATGCAAGTGTCGACCCATGACCTAAAATGCGTCATGAAATTAATGTGAGTGGCCCTACCTTTGAACAGTAAAAAAGGTATTCAGCAAACGTTAACACCAAGACCGTAGACTTACCTCAAACACAACTAATGATACATTTAGCTCACACACAACTAATGGTAAATTTATTTCACACACAACTATTGACAGACTTGTCTCCATGGGCCTCTGCACCCAGCCCGAGGCCCAGCCCCAGCCATATTAATATTGACAGAGAAAGTAGTTATTCCTAAAACTTTGAGTTTCTGGACTCATCCTGCTCATGATAGTGGTGGTATACATACAGATCCATCTGTGATGAATGGGTGAGTTATTTTTGCTATTTTCTGTCTGGAACTGGCCACTTTCTGAAGGAACACATTTCCCCTCTGAACCAAGATTTTCTGACATTCTTGAAAATCCTGAAAGGAAGAATAATATTTCTGTCATGTATGCATGAACATGAAACACATTCTAACCTCATTATTATTGTGAGGTACATGTGTCATTAGTTGTGTGTGAGGTACAAGTGTCATTAGTTGTGTGTGAGGTACAAGTGTCATCAGTTGTGTGTGAGGTACATGTGTCATTAGTTGTGTGTGAGGTACATGTGTCATTTGTTGTGTGAGGTACATGTGTCATTAGTTGTGTGTGAGGTACAAGTGTCATTAGTTGTGTGTGAGGTACAAGTGTCATTAGTTGTGTGTGAGGTACAAGTGTCATCAGTTGTGTGTGAGGTACATGTGTCATTAGTTGTGTGTGAGGTACATGTGTCATTTGTTGTGTGAGGTACATGTGTCATCAGTTGTGTGTGAGGTACATGTGTCATCAGTTGTGTGTGAGGTACATGTGTCAATAGTTGTGTGTGAGGTACATGTGTCATCAGTTGTGTGTGAGGTTCATGTGTCATTAGTTGTGTGTGAGGTTCATGTGTCATTAGTTGTGTGTTAGGTACATGTGTCATCAGTTTCATGTGAGGTACAAGTGTCATTAGTTTTTTGTGAGGTACATGTGTCATAAGTTGTGTGTGAGGTACATGTGTCATTAGTTGTGTGTGAGGTACATGTGTCATTAGTTGTGTGTGAGGTACATGTGTCATTAGTTGTGTGTGAGGTACATGTGTCATTAGTTGTGTGTGAGGTACAAGTGTCATTAGTTGTGTGTGAGGTACAAGTGTCATTAGTTGTGTGTGAGGTACATGTGTCATTAGTTGTGTGTGAGGTACAAGTGTCATTAGTTGTGTGTGAGGTACATGTGTCATTAGTTGTGTGTGAGGTACAAGTGTCATTAGTTGTGTGTGAGGTACAAGTGTCATTAGTTGTGTGTGAGGTACAAGTGTCATCAGTTGTGTGTGAGGTACATGTGTCATTAGTTGTGTGTGAGGTACATGTGTCATTTGTTGTGTGAGGTACATGTGTCATCAGTTGTGTGTGAGGTACATGTGTCATCAGTTGTGTGTGAGGTACATGTGTCAATAGTTGTGTGTGAGGTACATGTGTCATCAGTTGTGTGTGAGGTTCATGTGTCATTAGTTGTGTGTGAGGTTCATGTGTCATTAGTTGTGTGTTAGGTACATGTGTCATCAGTTTCATGTGAGGTACAAGTGTCATTAGTTTTTTGTGAGGTACATGTGTCATAAGTTGTGTGTGAGGTACATGTGTCATTAGTTGTGTGTGAGGTACATGTGTCATTAGTTGTGTGTGAGGTACATGTGGCATCAGTTGTGTGTGAGGTACATGTGTCATTAGTTGTGTGTGAGGTACAAGTGTCATCAGTTGCGAGTCAGGTACATGTGTCATCAGTTGTGTGTGAGGTACATGTGTCATTAGTTGTGTGTGAGGTACATGTGTCATCAGTTGTGTGTGAGGTACATGTGTCATCAATTGTGTGTGAGGTACATGTGTCATTAGTTGTGTGTGAGGTACAAGTGTCATTAGTTGTGTGTAAAGTACAAGGTTCATTAGTTGTGTGTAAGGTACAAGTGTCATTAGTTGTGTGTGAGGTACATGTGTCATTTGTTGTGTGTGAGGTACATGTGTCATTAGTTGTGTGTGAGGTACAAGTGTCATTAGTTGTGTGTGAGGTACATGTGGCATTAGTTGTGTGTGAGGTACATGTGTCATTAGTTGTGTGTGAGGTACAAGTGTCATTAGTTGTGTGTGAGGTACAAGTGTCATCAGTTGCGAGTGAGGTACATGTATCATCAGTTGTGTGTGAGGTACATGTGTCATTAGTTGTGTGTGAGGTACAAGTGTCATCAGTTGCGAGTGAGGTACATGTATCATCAGTTGTGTGTGAGGTATATGTGTCATCAGTTTTGTGTGTGGTACAAGTGTCATTAGTTGTGTGTGAGGTACATGTGTCATTAGTTGTGTGTGAGGTACAAGTGTCATTAGTTCTGTGTGAGGTACAAGTGTCATTAGTTGTGTGTGAGGTACATGTGTCATTAGTTGTGTGTGAGGTACATGTGGCATCAGTTGTGTGTGAGGTACAAGTGTCATCAGTTGCGAGTGAGGTACATGTATCATCAGTTGTGTGTGAGGTACATGTGTCATCAGTTGTGTGTGTGATACAAGTGTCATCAGTTGTGTGTGAGGTACATGAGTCTTCAGTTGTGTGTGAGGTACAAGTGTCATTAGTTGTGTGTGAGGTACATGTGTCATTAGTTGTGTGTGAGGTACATGTGTCATTAGTTGTGTGTGAGGTACATGTGTCATTAGTTGTGTGTGAGGTACAAGTGTCATCAGTTGTGTGTGAGGTACATGTGTCATTAGTTGTGTGTGAGGTACATGTGTCATTAGTTGTGTGTGAGGTACAAGTGTCATTAGTTGTGTGTGAGGTACAAGTGTCATTAGTTGTGTGTGAGGTACATGTGTCATTAGTTGTGTGTGAGGTACATGTGTCATTAGTTGTGTGTGAGGTACATGTGTCATCAGTTGTGTGTGTGGTACAAGTGTCATCAGTTGTGTGTGAGGTACATGTGGCATTAGTTGTGTGTGAGGTACATGTGTCATAAGTTGTGTGTGAGGTACATGTGGCATCAGTTGTGTGTGAGGTACATGTGTCATCAGTTGCGAGTGAGGTACATGTGGCATCAGTTGTGTGTGAGGTACATGTGTCATCAGTTGTGTGTGAGGTACTTAAACAGCCTCTACATCATAGACTTCCCTCATCTTATTTTGGGGAAATACTCACAGAATGCTGAAGATTTGCCAGTGTGATGAAGCGTAGAAACAGTTCACAGCCTGATGATATGGATGTAACACTGCTGTCAGTCTGTGTCAATGTGTTGATTGCATCCTTCAGGCGCTCCCTCATCTCCGACAGAGTTTCCACTGCAACAACCAACAACAGTAAAAAATAAACATGAGCTGTAACACCATCACCATTTCTTGTGGGAGACTGGAGCTGAATATCTCAATGGTTAACTGTTCAAATTTCTAGCTACAAATCTCATGCACCACATGCATAACTATATTTGCTATTCCCCCATACACTTACTGAAGGCAAAGTAAGTCTTCATCATGTTGAGGCTGAACAAAATAATAGCCTTGGTTCTCAGGAACTACCCGCATAATCACAAAGTTTTACACATGTTTCATTTTTATTTCCATTTAAAAAAAACAAAAAAAACAAAATCCTTAAATATTCCAAGTCTAACGGCAGTCAAATACTGTATTCCAGTATTTCACTCTTCAAGGAATACATTTTTGTAGGGAGGCCCTTTCTCAGGCTGATTATACACAACTGTTTATTTGGTTACACATCTGTTTATATGGGTACATACTAGTTTGAACAACAAAAAAACAAAACAAACACTAAGCACCTGCACTAGTTATTCAAAAGCCATTGCCTAAGAACCAATTTTTTAATTTCTTTTTAAGCCTTAGGTAAAGTCACTTTGATGATTGAGAGAACAATATGCAATACATGAGAATGACTTGAGGATTTGGTCTGTCATTATTTGTTAATGACACTGTCACAGTAAACATTTCCGGGGTCAATCTTGGTCATCATCGTGTGAACTTTGACCTGAATGATTTTCAGACGTTTGCATAAATGATTTGTCTTCAGTTGAAATGTAGTTCAAACCCATGATTGTGTACAAATGAAAACACTCGGCCGACATGAATTTTATTAAACAGGTCATGTCCTTAATTTTCACACATTTTCTGATATTCCAATTTGAGCTGTATCTCGAAAAGAGATTGTAACATACAAAATTATCACTGGTCTAAGGACACACTGCATCCAGTCTGACTAGAGCCAGGCCTTGGACTGATTGGTTGCTTACAAAGAGTGACCACACTGCCCTGTGGTGGCATGTATTCAGATGTGATGGAGGGACTGTGCAAGCCCGGGAAGTAGCCACGATGCAGGACAGTTAGGCACTAGGACCAGTCGAGGGCTCATAACCTCTTTCTGTTAACATGATGCTCTTAACAAAAGTTCAATAAATTATCCTGATCAAAAGTGGACTCCTCCTGATTTCTTGCCTTTGTTTGCTTCAATGAACTTCAGGAGAGTTTTGATGGCAGCTACAGCAGCAGAAATATCTGGGTCATCATTGATAAGCTTGTTAAAATATGACAGAATATCTGAAAAACATAATAATGATTATTTAGATACAAACAATTTAAAGACATGTTTGTTTCACAAATAAATTATATATATATATATATATATATATATATATATATATATATATATATATATATATATATATAGACACACACACACACACACACACACACACACACACACACACAAACAAAAATGAGGTAAATGTTCACTCGGTGTACATGTAATATATCATAAAATAATAAAGTCCACGTAAGTCCATCATCTTCTTTGTCTGAAACTGATATAAAGAAGATGATGGACTAACGTGGACTTATATTATTTTATTATATATATATATATAGTTTGCCCCATAAAGCCATGTGACCAGTGACCAGTGTTTGTATGTATATATATATATAACATACAAACACTGGTCACTGGTCACATGGCTTTATGGGGCAAACTGTTGATCTAAAGAATCGTAATTGAGAGTTTTCTCCAAATCCACTTGTCAAAAAGGCTGGAAACTTGCATGTATCACCCACATGGTGCCCTGATTCTATTGAAGGCCATTTACAGTACATGTGTTCTAGAATCTAATACTCGGAACTTACTTCAATACTTTCAACAAACTGTCTCCATACACACAACTACCACATTTTATATGCATATATTGCCTGATGGTAGCCATCAAGAATTTATTAATGAATAAAGTAGAAAATTAATTGGCCTATAAAGTACATCAAAATTTATACTGTTCATCATTAGACTGTAAAGAGTGAGTGAGTGAGTGAGTGAGTGAGTGAGTGAGTGAGTGAGTGAGTGAGTGAGTGAGTGAGTGAGTGAGTGAGTGAGTGTGGTTTTACGCCGCTTTTAGCAATATTCCAGCAATAGCACGGCGGGTGACACCAGCAATGGGCTTCACACATTGTACCCATGTTGGGAATCGAACCCGGATCTTCTGTGTGACGAGCGAACGCTTTAACCACTAGGCTACCCGACTGCCCCCAGACTGTAAAGAACTCTTCTTGATCATATGTATTGGTCATGTGATTGACGTGGTAGCCATATTGGGTTCAAAATTATCACGAGTGCAATTGTTTTGGGTGATTTATGTCTTCCACAATGTTTTTCTCAGAACCGACCTTCAATTTGTCCATAAATTGTCTTCATACATTCCACTTTAATACAACCTTTCACATTCTCCAAAAAATATTTATTACCTTTAATCGTTTTTATTTATTTATTATGGTTTTTTTTTGTTGGTTTAATATTTTGATTATAACTAAAAAAAAACAGTGTTCTGATTCTATCCAGTATTGTTCTTGGTGCATAAAGACTATAAAGGTCATAGTGTTACGGTGTGTAATTATGTATATATCCTCAAGTGTGTTTTAATTTCTGCTTCTATTAGTCCTACCTCAACCACCCTATCTTACCTGCTTCAGTACTGTATTACAGTAGCACAGTCACCATTGTGCTTGCCTTCTCTGTTGTTTCTCTGGGTCTCTATTGTCTGATATTCAGTGACAGGGTGCCTTATGGAACTGGTCAGCTTAGATTCACATTTGCATTGGAGTCTGCATTGACTTTTCATTGCTGGACACAGTTGATATTTATCACAGGTTAGTTTATGTGTGAATTGTATATTTCTGTGTTCTTATGTAGTGTTTTGTTATAAGGATTTACTCAGGTGCATATGTATTATTTGAAAAGACTTCTGCCCGTATTCCCCCTTAAAAACTTATAAATGTATGCATTGACGCTCATCCTTTTAATTATATATTTATAAGGCGGTATGGGGGTGGTAGATATGGGCAGAAGTCTTACCCGAATAAAAGTGCTGCACCCAACTTTGTATGTATGAATGAATGTATGTATGATGAGGTGAGTTATAAGAATAGATTTAGAGTTATTGTTTATACATAAGAATGTTAAAACATATTGAGTGAGTATGGTTTTGTGCCGCTTTTAGCAATATGCCAGCAATATCACGGTGGGGAACACCAGAAATTGGCTTCACACATTGTACCCATTTCGGGAATCGAACCCGGGTCTTCAGCGTGATGAGCGGACGCTTTACCCACTAGACTACCCGACCACCCCCTTAAAACATATTGATGTAATATGTTACATTATAGTTATATATTGTGTATATATTTATGGTCATGTTTGGAGATATTACTAGGTGACGCCATTGGGCAGTGCCATACACATGGTGAGGGTAATCACATTGAATGCACTCAAATACTCACAGACTTGACCATGTTGACCACTTGACTACTCAGTGACCACTTCCTCATTTCAAATGCATCATATTACAACAACAACGAGAAGAAGGCTATTTGTACAGCGCAAAATCCACATCACTGAGGGACATTCTCAAAGTGCTATTATTACCCCTGTAACTGGATCAATGTGCCCTCAAGAATCATTCTCAGCTTCCTAGGGAGTATACAACCCAAGCTGCCTGTTAAGCACTAGAAGGTTAACAACAACAATGTCATCTCATCCTACCGGGTACCCATTCACTGCTTGGTAAATGGTTGCCCATATTCGAACAAAATCACTTGCCATAGAAGACGCCACATGTGTTACATGTGCTTCACTGTGGGGCAGGACCGAAGCCCTAGAAACTCTCAGGAGCCACACTACCAAGGCAGTCACCCATCCAAACACTCTCTGTGACCGACGTTGCTTAACTTCACCTGATTTGTGACCTGTGCGCTGTGCATAGGACCATGTGCCGCCATATCATATCAATATCAAATATTCTGATGGACAAAATACTTTATAATTATTTTCAATATCATCACATATTACTTGGATCCATTAATTGCAGTACTACACCTATATTTATGTGTCATATGTCCGTTAAGGGGTGTAACAGCAACAGGCAGAGTGAACCAACGATGATATCCCTGTTTCACAGTACAGCAAGCCTAATAAATCCATATGGAATTTACCTAGAAGATGGATATCCAGTCGTTTGAGGCAAATATATACATAATAGGAGCAACATAAATTTAAGATGTCTTAGCGTACCGTTCTTGTCCATGTTTAGGTTCAAAAGTCTTATAAATCAGAAAATACTGTTTCTTGCATCAGATGTCTGAGAGATTTTCGTTTCATGTCACTGTTATCTCCCCTTCTTCTCATAAAGAAACGCGGATGTCAATTCGTCTAAATGTCATCAGACTGACCAATTGGTGACTCCGTTACATGCAAAGCAGTTCGGACGTTAAACCGGATCTTTGAATTTCAAGATGGTATTTGTTTTCAACGAAAGAACTATTACAATATACAACACGTTTATGCGAATTAATTAAATAATAAATAATACGGTTTATATATACTGGTAGATATATGAAGATAAACCCAAAACCGGAGTAAAATGATGAACTGCCCGGATTTTAGAGAAAATAAACATGGCAGCTTCCATGAAAATGTGACTTTCCGTCGCTTTTGCATTTGGGAGCAGTTCAGTTTGATGCATGATGTCAGGTGTGTGTTTATGCTTACCCAGAATTTATTTCAGGGTACAGAGCTCTGTCAGTTGATTGTAACGTCTAACGTGCAGGTTTGAGATAGGCACTGCAGACTAATGTTTTTTTGGGTTTTTTTTATATACCCTCTACTGATCTAGTCCCTAATTACTCAATTTACTGTTCTGATGGAAGAGGCCAAACATTTGTAATTAATAACACCAATAATAGTTGAATAGAAATGAGTCCACTGATAGTCTTTTCATATTGTTGTTGGTGTTCAGTCATGAGTACACATGGTCATATCGGAACATACCGATCATCCATGATCATCTGGAGGAAGAAACATGTATGCCAAAAATATGTTATGGACCAGTCAATTTGAAATATCAATGCATCGAAATGAAAAATGAGTTCATTCCACATTCTCACTGAAGCAAGAGACAGGAGTCTACAATGTATGTTATTAAAAGAAATAACAAAATACATAGGAAGATAATACCACTAACAATTTAATTTCTACATTATTTTTTTAGACTTTATTTTGGATTTCTTAGTGAGTGAGTGAGTGAGTGAGTGAGTGAGTGAGCTTTGTTTTATGCAACAGTAGGTCAGTGATACCATGCTGCCAACTCAGTGAAGGAGGAAAGCCTGCATGGATCCAAACAGTTAAAACTAAAATTAAATTAAAATTACCATGAATATTCGAAAATCTGTTGATGTGAAGTTATCAGATCACAAGATCTTATTGATCATCTAGAGAAAGCAAAATATTGATGGACACTAAAATAATGGATTCACCTTTATGAGGAAATATTTCCATTCAGGTGGAGACATGATGTTGTTAACTTCAATATATTTTACTTATCCTGCATTAGTCCTTAATAGATTCACTGCTTACCTTACGACAACAAGAAGACAGCGCAACAGTGATTGTCTTGGCTGAAGAAATAAAGAAGTTGTTGATTTCAAGTCCTACTTTTATGCGGACCACTGCCGCTGTCATGTGACCTCGATGACATGTAAGGTCACCTTCTTCACATCACTGCCTGTCGTGCTACAGCAAGGACATGTCCCGGTGGAGCTTTTCAAATTGGTTTAATTTAGACCTTCAGTTTTCGGCTATAATTCTAAAATTGATCTGCGATGGGTGATGTATTCCTTTCATATTATTTTGACCATGTTGTGTAGGTTAATGTGGATTATTTAGGCCATTTTGAATTTGTGTTACAATTATTTGCCTGTCAAATTGTTTACAATTCCCAGCTACGTATGTATATCATATTCATGTGTTTTTAAATATTAGAAGCTTTGACGTTACATTGAGTTGTGTATATCAATATTGTATACACTTTAAACTCGTTAAAAAAGAATTGCTGATAGAATATTGTTCAATTCTTCAGTACTTTTCCAGTCCCGTTTCATCAACAATTCTTTAATTGCGTAACTGTCTCTTGTGTCATCAACACACGCTAACGTTAGTATGCCACCGGGAATTCACCAGATGGCTACGATATGGATGGGATGGGTAATCAACGAGGGGAAGTCAGAGTTAACTCCCTCCTACTGGCTCCAGTTCATAGGAGGCCTGTTCCAGACAGATCAGGATCTCCTATCAGTGACGAGGGACAGATGGCACAAAATCGTACGCCTCTTGTCACCTGCGCTCCACCAACCACGCACGCTTCACCAATGGCAAGTATTGCTAGGGTTACTCACCTCGACTTAACCAGCAGAGGCCACTTACAACCACATCCAATTCAACAATTCCCGAACCCTTACATCCGGTGCCAGGATCCACTATAGGCTCAACTAAGGCCTTACCTCAATTGGTGGACTGTAGAGTCGAATATCTTAGGAGTCTCTTTATCTGGGTTACACCTGTTCGTAGATGCCTCCCTTCAGAGGTGGGGTGCTCACCTGCAAGGGCAGACAGCCTCAGGGCTATGGTCTGGCATTCATCAAAAGTGGCACATAAACAACTTGGAGTTGGAAGCATTAATTCTGGTCATATCCCATTGGCAGAATCAGCAACAGTCTGCCCAACTCGCAATATCCACAGACAACAGCAGTATCATGTGGTGCCTGTGCTATCAGGGAACAATGCACTCCCACTCCCTGCTTCAATAGACATTCAGGTTTTTCCATCTAGTGGATTGTCTGGAACTTCAATTCATAGTTCAGCACATCCCCGGATGTCGAAACTGGCCGATGCATTAACACGTCCAGACAAGGTGGCCCCCACCGAGTGGAAACTTCACACAGAAGCATTCTAATTACTGCTTCATAAGTTCAGGCAACCAAACATCAACCTAGAGTAGATACCTCCAACTTGATCCTTAAATAATGGCGGGGAAAGTCGGGCCTAAGTATCATCATGACTGACACTGTTTTGCTATTATTTCAGACAAGGCTGCAAGCAGTCTTTTGGTGATTGTGCTGGACACTAATCCAGTTTGGTGGGGAGAGAATCTAAATGTGGCACAGAGCAGTAGCAAGGTAAACTGCACACAATACTGACTCACACTCTCTGAGTCTCTGAGGCCCTGCTCAAGATAGCATTCTATGATATAGATGGACATCAGTTATCTCTTGTGAACCACAAGGCCTATGTATGATGCTCAATGTGGAGCTCTCTTAATTCTGATCAATTTTAGAAATGACTGTCTTAATAGCCGTATTTAAACTGTTATATGTGACTGTAGAATTACTCTGTCGTTTTTGCCAAGTTTGGTGAAGAAATATTGTACGGTTTTCAAGACCTGCCCCGGAAACGAGTATTACCGCCATTTTCAGTCAAAGTCGTTGCTGTGGAAACATTGAAAAATACATTTTTATAAAATCCCAAACTATCTAAAGGCACCAGTTTACCACTAGACCTATCTATGTACCAAGTTTGGTTAAGATATCTCTCAGGGTTTATGAGTTCTGCTCTGGAAACGTGGCGGACGGAATGATGGAAAGATGGAAGAACGGACAGACAGCACCCATTCCTATATCCCCCTTCCACTTTGTTATAGTTAAGCCCACATTATTAATTATATAATCACACTACTGTGCTGTACTACACTACACTAATCTACACATTGTTAAACAACCATACTAACAATCCTCTATGAATCCGTCGGTAAACAACAAACATGTAGTACAAAATGTGATAAACGTATGTGTCTATACCACCATTTGTCCATGTTGCAGTTGAGCCTGTCACAGTGTGTGGATGCAGTGATGGTGTTTGCTAATGCTCACCTGATGCTGGGGCATCACAACCAGCTGGCTGTCATAGCTGCCCACACCAACCAGAGGTAGGGAGGGAGGGAGGGTTGGGCTGCTACACACCAACCAGAGGGAGGGAGGGAAGGGCTGCTACACACCAACCAGAGGGAGGGAGGGAAGGGCTGCTACACACCAACCAGAGGTAGAGAGGAATGGGCTGCTACACACCAACCAGGGGTAGAGAGGAAGGGGCTGCTACACACCAACCAGAGGTAGAGAGGAAGGGGCTGCTACACACCAACCAGAGGTAGAGAGGGAGGGAGGGGCTGCTACACACCAACCAGAGGTAGAGAGGGAGGGAGGGGCTGCTACACACCAACCAGAGGTAGACAGGGAGGGAGGGGCTGCTACACACCAACCAGAGGTAGAGAGGGAGGGAGGGGCTGCTACACACCAACCAGAGGTAGACAGGGAGGGAGGGGCTGCTACACACCAACCAGAGGTAGAGAGGGAGGGAGGGGCTGCTACACACCATCCAGAGGGAGGGAGGGGCTGCTACACACCAACCAGAGGTCAGAGGGAGGGGCTGCTACACACCAACCAGAGGTAGAGAGGGAGGGAGGGACTGCTACACACCAACCAGAGGTAGAGAGGGAGGGGCTGCTACACACCAACCAGAGGTAGAGAGGGAGGGGCTGCTACACACCAACCAGAGGTAGAGAGGGAGGGAGGGGCTGCTACACACCAACAAGAGGTCAGAGGGAGGGGCTGCTACACACCAACAAGAGGTCAGAGGGAGGGGCTGCTACACACCATCCAGAGGGAGGGAGGGGCTGCTACACACCAACCAGAGGTAGAGAGGGGCTGCTACACACCATCCAGAGGGAGGGAGGGGCTGCTACACACCATCCAGAGGGAGGGAGGGGCTGCTACACACCAACCAGAGGTCAGAGGGAGGGGCTGCTACACACCAACCAGAGGGAGGGAGGGAGGGAGGGGCTGCTACACACCAACCAGAGGGAGGGAGGGGCTGCTACACACCAACCAGAGGGAGGGAGGGGCTGCTACACACCAACCAGAGGTCAGAGGGAGGGGCTGCTACACACCAACCAGAGGTAGAGAGGGAGGGGCAGCTACACACCAACCAGAGGTAGAGAGGGAGGGAGGGACTGCTACACACCAACCAGAGGTAGAGAGGGAGGGGCTGCTACACACCAACCAGAGGTAGAGAGGGAGGGGCTGCTACACACCAACCAGAGGTAGACAGGGAGGGAGGGGCTGCTACACACCAACCAGAGGTAGAGAGGGAGGGGCAGCTACACACCAACCAGAGGTAGAGAGAACCAGAGGTAGAGAGGGAGGGGCTGCTACACACCAACCAGAGGTAGAGAGGGAGGGAGGGGCTGCTACACACCAACCAGAGGTAGAGAGGGAGGGAGGGACTGCTACACACCAACCAGAGGTAGAGAGGGAGGGGCTGCTACACACCAACCAGAGGTAGAGAGGGAGGGGCTGCTACACACCAACCAGAGGTAGAGAGGGAGGGAGGGGCTGCTACACACCATCCAGAGGGAGGGAGGGGCTGCTACACACCAACCAGAGGTCAGAGGGAGGGGCTGCTACACACCAACCAGAGGTAGAGAGGGAGGGAGGGGCTGCTACACACCAACCAGAGGTCAGAGGGAGGGGCTGCTACGCACCAGGATATCTGTGTGGGAGGGTGGTAGCTCGAGTGTTGCCTTGGAGTCATCAGGGATCGGTCTGGAGGAGGGAGGTCTCTGATGCACTTGAACCTCCTTCCTCACATTGACAATCATACAGTGTTTACCATGTTTTCAGAAATGTATTTGATAATGAGGAAATTATGTTATAAAATCACAGGTAATTCCACACAAATGTGTCAAACTATGACACGTGTCCTGTCAGAGGAAATTTACATGTATAAAATGGCCTTCTATTCTGTTGTTGAGCATTGATTGTTCATGGAGGAGGAGTTACTTAAAGCAATGAGGACACTTGATTTTAAATGTGAAGTTGTTGCTTCCCCATTTGCAGTGAGTTCCTGTACCCGAGGGAGGAGGCTGCAGCAGCAGTCGAAACAGGGGATGGGGATGCGGAGATGGAGCAGTATCGCCAGGTGGATGGGAAGTATGAACTTTTTGGGCGGGTCAACGCACAGATACAGGCTCAGATCCAGCAGCTGGTTTTACAAGGTACAAACATGAATTTGTAGTACCCTTAATGTGCTAAGCCAAACTTTGATTTGGGGTAGGGAGGTCACTTGAATTACAATCTGGAGCAACCCCCTATGTTTTCGTATTTGCCAAAAAGGCATTAGTCATGCTGCACATGATCCTTTGTCAACATTTTATTGCACCATCTAATCCAGTGATTTTGACACAAAAGGCTGTATACAGGTCAATGACTTGGACCTAAAAAATGTAATAAGTCAATGGCAAAAGTCAGTAAGTCAAATAAACAAAGATGGCGGATGCAGTATTATTTCAAAGTTAAATCAGTACTTTAAAAAAAATCTGGCATAGCTTCACGCACCCGGCTACCTACCATTCATTATGTGAATGTTGAATGAAGCACCATAACATCTCTGGTTCAATGCAGCTGAAAGTTTACAATGCCATGCTTATTCCACGATGATGACACCTGAATTGTTCACGATTTTCTAATTCTTTTGCTGTAGCAACCATATTGAAAAATCTGTTTATTGTTTAGTTAGTTGTTAGTAGTTCAACACATGTTCTGTTTTTTGGGCAATATTTTGAAGTTTACTTTGTTTTGACCACTCTCTAAAATTCTCTTAAAATGCAGACCTCACAGTGTTAACTACTTCTCCCCTGAAACTGACTGAGGGAGCTGAAATTTGACATGTATGATTCTCCTTATGTTATGATCACATCATAGCTTGTTCAAATCAATAGTACCCCATAAAGATCTGCGGTAGAATAGGTCTTCAGCAACCCATGCTTGCCGTAAAAGGCAACTATGTTTGTCGTAAGAGGCGACTTACGTGATTGGGTGGTCAGGTTCGCTGACATGGTTGATGCATGTTATTGTATCCCAGTTGAGTGGTTCAAAGCTCATGACATCAATCACCGGATTGTCTGGTCCAGACTGCCGTCATTTAGCTGGAATATTGCTGAGTGACGAAAACAACAAACAAACAAATCAGATCATTAGCATGATTACAGTTTAGTGCTTTACTCCTCAGTTTTTGTACAGGAAGTATGGGAAAGCAGTGCTGACAGCTATATGTTTTTTAGTCTTTTTAGTTTTGAATGTCACAGTTTGAGGTCATTTCTAAGTGAAATGGTATGTTTCAGGCTTGGCGGGGGAGCTGTATTCGGACTCCCTCATTGCAGGCCCTCTCAGCATGGCGCTGTGCTGTATCCTTCCTCCTTATACAGTGTAGAACCTTTGTCAGGGTCCAACCATTTCATATTGGGGGAGGGGCCTCAGATTGTGGGGTGTGATGATGTGCAATAGACTGGGCTGACACTAGCAGGTTTTCCTGAACCAAACAGATATCCATCGCATGGAAAAAGAAAGTGGATCTGGCCTGGTACTGACTTCAAGAATCTTGGTAGGTGTTGGTTTACATTGGTGTTGGACACTGAATGGGTTGGGATGCTGACACTGAAGGGGTTGGGATGCTGACACTGAAGGGGTTGGTACGCTGACACTGAAGGGGTTGGGATGCTGACACTCAATGGGTTGGTACGCTGACACTGAAAGGGTTGGGATGCTAGACACTGAAGAGGTTGATACGCTGACACTGAATTGGTTGGGATGCTAACACTGAAGGGGTTGGTACGCTGACACTGAAGGGGTTGGGATGCTAACACTGAAGGGGTTGGGATGCTAGACACTGAATGGGTTGGGATGCTGACACTGAAGGGGTTGGTACGCTGACACTGAAGGGGTTTGGGATGCTAGACACTGAAGGGGTTGGTACGTTGACACTGAATGGGTTGGGATGCTGACACTGAAGGGGTTGGTACGCTGACACTGAAGGGGTTGGTATGCTGACACTGAATGGGTTGGGATGCTGACACTGAAGGGGTTGGTACGCTGACACTGAATGGGTTGGGATGCTGACACTGAAGGGGTTGGTACGCTGACACTGAAGGGGTTGGTACGCTGACACTGAATGGGTTGGGATCGTAACACTGAAGGGGTTGGTACGCTGACACTGAATGGGTTGGGATGCTGACACTGAAGGGGTTGGGATGCTGACACTGAATGGGTTGGGATGCTGACACTGAATGGGTTGGGATGCTGACACTGAAGGGGTTGGGATGCTGACACTGAAGGGGTTGGGATGCTGACACTGAAGGGGTTGGGATGCTAGACACTGAAGGGGTTGGGATGCTAGACACTGAAGGGGTTGGTACGCTGACACTGAAGGGGTTGGGATGCTAGACACTGAAGGGGTTGGGATGGTAACACTGAAGGGGTTGGTACGCTGACACTGAAGGGGTTGGTACGCTGACACTGAAGGGGTTGGGATGCTAGACACTGAATGGGTTGGGATGCTAGACACTGAATGGGTTGGGATGCTGACACTGAAGGGGTTGGGATGCTGACACTGAATGGGTTGGGATGCTGACACTGAATGGGTTGGGATGCTGACACTGAATGGGTTGGGATGCTAGACACTGAATGGGTTGGGATGCTAGACACTGAAGGGGTTGGTACGCTGACACTGAAGGGGTTGGGATGCTAGACACTGAAGGGGTTGGGATGGTAACACTGAAGGGGTTGGTACGCTGACACTGAAGGGGTTTGGATGCTAGACACTGAATGGGTTGGGATGCTAGACACTGAATGGGTTGGGATGCTGACACTGAATGGGTTGGGATGCTGACACTGAAGGGGTTGGGATACTGACACTGAATGGGTTGGGATGCTGACACTGAATGGGTTGGGATGCTGACACTGAATGGGTTGGGATGCTGACACTGAAGGGGTTGGGATGCTGACACTGAAGGGGTTGGGATGCTGACACTGAATGGGTTGGGATGCTGACACTGAAGGGGTTGGGATGCTGACACTGAAGGGGTTGGGATGCTAGACACTGAATGGGTTGGTATGCTGACACTGAAGGACTTTTGACGCTGAAGGGGTTTGGATGCTGACACTGAACTGGTTTCCACTTGCTATCAAAGCGTTACACAAAGCGTTATCTACTGAATAATCTACTTTCAGGGATGTGAGCAGGTTTTCCTGAAAAAAAGAGGAAAAGTCTAGGGGGGCCTGGGGGCATGCCCAGAAATCTTTTAAACATTTGATTGCATTTTAAGCAATTTCGTGCAGTTTGGACAACATTAACACCAAGAAATGTAATAAGTCAATGGCAAAAGTCAATAAGTCAAATTAACAAGATGGCAGATGCAGTAAAATTTCGAAGTTAAATCAGTACTTTTAAAAAATCTGGCATAGCTTCCGCACACCTTGCTACCTGCCAGGTCTGGGGGCAATACTGCCATAAACTTCAACCCCCATCCCCCAGACACAAGGACACACAAGGACAACTGTCACAAGCGTGCAATGTCTGACCCTTTCCCCATGTTGAAGCATATTGAAAAAAACTTACCTTGTACTTACTTACCTTTTGTTGAAAAAAACAAAACTCCATTGCAAATATAAGACATTAATACAACATATATCCTCATGTTATGGGGTTTTGGACACTGAAGAAACATTCATAGTTTTCTCGCTAATCACATGAACAACTGTAAAACATCTCTTTCACTTACAGGCTTAAAGACAACTTTATCTTAAAAACAAGCCATCATCTGACTTTACATTAACAATTTCTGTGTGACGCCACACCCCACGTTTAAGTGCAAGTATTCATGATAGAAAGCGTATGATATCCGAAAACCTATGCTGCTGAAAGCTCTGATCGAAAACAGGACAATCCGCGACGATTGTCCGGTTTTCGATCATATTTTTCAGCGTTTTTTTTTTAAATCTTTGATTATACTTTTACGCAGAAAATGATTTTTCACCAGGAGAACTGTTTTAAAAAACGCGATTTTTCCGCTTTTCCGCGGAGATTTCACATCCCTGTACTTTGATATTGTTGAGAATTTATGTGGATGGCTCCACAGTTTGAAGTTTGTGTGTCGGAAATGACGAGAGCTGACATCTTGGCTGTTTGTTTATGAACACTCTATGTCAGGATTTACAGAGAGGAGTGTACAGACATGGGAGAAAGCTGAAACAAGACAGGTTCACTTCCTGCATAACAGTTTGTCTCCTGTTGCAGGTGATCAAAGGCTCGGAGGACAACCCCACTCAATACATGAACTTCATGAATGCTGTGTTCACTGCTCAGAAACAGGTAATGACCACTGGTCCTGCACAGAGTGCTTGCTGGAAGTAGACACTTGAAGGTTCTAAGTTACCTCGTGTATGACTCGTACAAGTGTACTGAGTGCTTGCTGGAAGTAGACACTTAAAGGTTCTAAGTTACCTCGTGTATGACTCGTACAAGTTTACTGAGATTCTTCCATTGACCAGCTTCTACATGTGTGCTGAGATATGTAATGATGTCATGATCATTTCCTTTCAGAATGTAGTGGTGGATGCTTGTATCCTGGACAATGAGTCGGGACTGCTGCAGCAAGTAGGTGCTTACCAAGATAACCACCCCTTGGAGCCAATAGTAATATGTATCCTGTATGCCCCCTTTACAACTCGCATGAATCCCTGTCATAATGCTACATAGTGCCACTGGCAAAATGTGTTCTGAGAGTCTACACTAGTTTCTGTGGTACTTGGCAAGATTGTGTAGAGAAATGATGTATGATTGTAAAGAGAGCCAGTGTATGATTTAGTAGGGAAACCATCTGTGATTGTTTAAGATGCAGTAGTTGAGAAATTATTGATTGATTGGAGAAGAGCAGTTTTTTTGTGATGTAGTGACAGTGGTTATTGTTGGCAGGCCTGTGACATCACTGGTGGGATCTACCTCAAGGTGCCTCAGATGCTGGGTCTCCTCCAGTACCTGCTGGTGAGTATGTCCTCCCTTACCTGTTGGAGATGTCCTCCCTTACCTGTTGGCGAGTATGTCCTCCCTTACCTGTTGGCGAGTATGTCCTCCCTTACCTGTTGGCGAGTATGTCCTCCCTTACCTGTTCGAGATGTCCTTCCTTACCTGTTGGAGAGTATGTCCTCCCTTACCTGTTGGAGAGTATGTCCTCCCTTACCTGTTGGAGAGTATGTCCTCCCTTACCTGTTGGAGAGTATGTCCTCCCTTACCTGTTGGAGAGTATGTCCTCCCTTACCTGTTGGACAGTATGTCCTCCCTTACATGTTGGAGAGTATGTCCTCCCTTACCTGTTGGAGAGTATGTCCTCCCTTACCTGTTGGTGGGTATGTCCTCCCTTACCTGTTGGTGGGTATGTCCTCCCTTACCTGTTGGAAAGTATGTCCTCCCTTACCTTTTGGAGGGTATGTCCTCCCTTACCTGTTGGACAGTATGTCCTCCCTTACCTGTTGGACAGTATGTCCTCCCTTACCTGTTGGAGAGTATGTCCTCCCGTACCTGTTGGACAGTTGGTATGTCCTCCCTTACCTGTTGGAGAGTATGTCCTCCAGTACCTGCTGGTGGGTATGTCCTCCCTTACCTGTTGGACAGTATGCCCTCCCTCACATGTTGGTGGGTATGTCCTCCCTTACCTGTTGGACAGTATGTCCTCCCTTACCTGTTGGACAGTATGTCCTCCCTCACATATTGGAGAGTATGTCCTCCCTTACCTGCTGATGAGTATGTCGTCCCCTAGCTGTTGGAGAGTATGTCCTCCCTTACCTGTTGGTGAGTATGTCCTCCCTTACCTGTTGGACAGTATGTCCTCCCTTACCTGTTGGTGAGTATGTCCTCCCTTACCTGTTGGTGGGTATGTCCTCCCTTACCTGTTGGACAGTATGTCCTCCCTTACCTGCTGATGAGTATGTCCTCCCTTACCTGTTGGAGAGTATGTCCTTCCTTACCTGTTGGTGGGTATGTCCTCCCTTACCTGTTGGACAGTATGTCCTCCCTTACCTGTTGGACAGTATGTCCTCCCTCACATATTGGAGAGTATGTCCTCCCTTACCTGCTGATGAGTATGTCGTCCCCTAGCTGTTGGAGAGTATGTCCTCCCTTACCTGTTGGTGAGTATGTCCTCCCTTACCTGTTGGACAGTATGTCCTCCCTTACCTGTTGGTGAGTATGTCCTCCCTTACCTGCTGGTGAGTATGAGCTCCCTTACCTGCTGGTGAGTATGAGCTCCCTTACCTGTTGGAGATGTCCTCCCTTACCTGTTGGAGAGTATGTCCTCCCTTACCTGTTGGAGAGTATGTCCTCCCTTACCTGTTGGTGAGTATGTCCTTCCTTACCTGTTGGTGGGTATGTCCTCCCTTACCTGTTGGACAGTATGTCCTCCCTTACCTGTTGGACAGTATGTCCTCCCTCACATATTGGAGAGTATGTCCTCCCTTACCTGATGATGAGTATGTCGTCCCCTAGCTGTTGGGGAGTATGTCCTTCCTTACCTGTTGGAGAGTATGTCCTCCCTTACCTGTTGGAGAGTATGTCCTCCCTTACCTGTTGGAGATGTGCTCCCTTACCTGTTGGAGAGTATGTCCTCCCTTACCTGTTGGAGAGTATGTCCTCCCTTACCTGTTGGAGATATCCTCCCTTACCTGTTGGTGACATAGTACTGGATGAATGCATCAGTATGCTGCAGTGACATAGTACTGGATGAATACATCAGTATGCTGAAGTGACATAGTACTGGATGAATGCATCAGTATGCTGCACTGACATAGTACTGGATGAATGCATCAGTATGCTGCACTGACATAGTACTGGATGAATGCATCAATATGCTGCAGTGACATAGTACTGGATGAATACATCAGTATGCTGAAGTGACATAGTACTGGATGAATGCATCAGTATGCTGCACTGACATAGTACTGGATGAATGCATCAGTATGCTGCAGTGACATAGTACTGGATGAATGCATCAGTATGCTGCAGTGACATAGTACTCGATGAATGCATCAGTATGCTGCAGTGACATAGTACTGGATGAATGCATCAGTATGCTGCAGTGACATAGACCTGGATGAATGCATCAGTATGCTGCAGTGACATAGTACTGGATGAATGCATCAGTATGCTGCAGTGACATAGTACTCGATGAATGCATCAGTATGCTGCAGTGACATAGTACTGGATGAATGCATCAGTATGCTGCAGTGACATAGACCTGGATGAATGCATCAGTATGCTGCAGTGACATAGTATTGGATGAATGCATCAGTATGCTGCAGTGACATAGTACTCGATGAATGCATCAGTATGCTAATATGGTACCAGATGAGTTTCTTCCTATTGTATCAGGGGGTAATAAGTGTATCAGTGCATGCTAATTATTACTGAGGCTGTCTTGCATGTCAAAAATTGATTATCTAGTTTGGCTGCTGGGCTTCTGCTTGTTTCTGGGCCAAGATTTGATTAATGTTCTTGCCATGGGAAAACCCTGCAGTCCTAGGCGAGGTCACCTGTCCCTGGCGCCTGCAGGACAGTGGTTGCTAGGCAACATATGCAACAACACTTTGATCAATGGGAAGCTGTATGTTTGATGAGGACATCTGAGAGCAGTGTAATAAATGAGGTGATTGTGTTGCCCTGGCTGCAGGGCTGACCGCTGTATGGCCAGTGTAATGGGGGCCGGTGACACCACCACGTCGTCATGTCAGACACATGGATCAACAGTCTGGGGTGAATGGAACCATTGGTGTTGCAGCGGTAGCGTCACTCACTGTGGCAGTTTGCAACATGCTCAGCTCATGACAATGTAGGTCACCTGCATGGGTAATCCACAGCTTAAAATGTCAACAAGATGGCCACTTAACAAACATTGCTGTCATTGTTGATATTCAAATATTTTTCACATATATATTGAGGAAAAACAAACTTTGTCATCTTATTGGATTTGAACTATAAATATGTCATCCTAAGGAAACCTCCCTCAGTCGGGCAAATATAGAGTATATGACCATATGACCCATATTACGTACATGTATGTTATGCAGTTACATACCACATGCATCATGGTATTGGATTACATTTCTGTTCCAATTACAAATAAAAAGCAGTGGGGTAGCCTAGTGGTAAAAGTGTTTGTTCGTCTCACCGAAGACCCGGGTTTGATTCCCCACATGAGTACAATGTGTAAAGCCCATTTCTGGTGTCCCCTGCCGTGATATTGCTGGAACATTGCAAAAAGCAGTGTAAAACCATATTCACTCACTCACTCACTCACTCTAATTTTAAATACAATATATTTGTACAATATAATTGTAATAAAGAAGTTGTTCATCCATAAATTCTTATCCATACTTAATATACTTATTCTTTGACAGATGAAATGTCTTCTCAAGTCTTTTCCAATGAATTATGACATCATATCATGGGCTTGGTTGTTTGTATGTATGTTTTGAACACCAAACGCATTGTATTCACTTTTAAAATGTTAAGTACATTAATATTTTGTACATACGATTCAAACAGAAGTTCTGATTTCATGGCTGTATAAAATACAAGTGATGGTTTATCTGTGAGAAGTGAATGCTAGTGT